GTTAATGGCTCTTTATTGCCTATTTAAGACCAATGACTATTTGTCCTTGAGGATTGACAATTTTTGTCCAGTCGTGTTCGACTCTAGGGGGTGGTGCTCATCCCCGTTTCCAAGCCATAGAGCCAGCGTTTTGTCCGAAGACAATCTTCCGTGGACACATGGCCAGTGCGACTTAGACACGGAACGCTGTTACCTTCCCACCGAGGTGGTCCCTATTAATCTACTCGCATTTGCATGCTTTCAAACCACTAGGTTGGCGGGAGCTGGGACAAGTGACGGGCGCTCACTCCATCACGTGGATTCGATCTTATGACTGCTTGGTCTTCTGACCCTGCAGCACAGGCTTCTGCGGTTTAGCTCACAGCGTCACCACGTCCCTAAAACAATTTGCATTACATCAGAAGTAATTTGCAACAATACATTGTTCCAAGGAAAACCCATTGATTCCAGCTACTGTGAAGTCTGTCACTAAGCAAGGAGAGAGTAGGATAGCCTAGTAGGTAATGTCATCATCCCTTCTAATCAGGAAGTCCTGGGGCTCTGAATTTACAAACCTTGGCTCTTCGACTCCTCTGGCTAGTGAATGACCATTGGTATAATGAAGCTGTAAAAACTGGGCAAGTTAATTAATAGAGACAATGATGTCAACTGCTACCTCCACCCCTGTCTTCTCCTTTTCCTTCTGAGCTTAGATGAATTCCATAGAGTGGGGGCAATGAGTGATCCCAGCAGCCATGCATCATTAGGAGTTAAACTGAAAGTGAAGGTGAATTAGTCTTGAGTAGACAATGAAGTTCTGTAAACATTACATATAAGACTGTGTAGCGCTTTGATAGGTATGTTGATTGTACCCATCTTTACTGGGCATCACCCCCACAATGCATAATTGAATTACAAGCTTTCCAGTCAATTCTGACTTATGACCATGCTTTTCACATATGGTATACTCAGAAGTTGTTTACTATCCCCTTCTTTTAGAGGTGCTATGGAACTGTGCAGCTTGCCCAAGGCTACACAGCTTGGCTCTTCTCTTGGCAGGCACAATGAGGAATTGAACTCTTAGCCCCCCCGTCCGGCTCCGGAGGCAGGTACCCTACTCACTAAGCTATTGAGCCCGCTCATTATGCATATTTCTCTATAAGCCTGTGGCTAAGTGTGTTATTTCAATTGGTCTGAGGAAGTACTGTGTAGTGCATGAAAGCTCACACGGGAATAACATTGTCAGTCTATAAGGTGGCACAACACTTTTGGTTTCTTTTTAGTTTTGTTTTGTTCTTATTATACTTGAAATAAATTCACTTTTTAAAAAATTTCAGATCATTACAACTCCACGGCTGAAACAACAGATACAGCCCTGTTCCAGCATGCCACTCCTTTGTGCAACATGCTTCTGGCACCCTAAGAGACGCGTGAAACATATGGACTAGGCATTCTTCTAGGCCCCTGCACAGGAAGTGGATTTCACTTGCAGTTCCTCTGCCAATTTGCTCATTTGAAAGGCTCCATTTCAGAGACACGAAGGGCTGGGTATGTTCTGCACACAATGTACCCACAGCATTAGAGGATAAATGATCTATCCTTTTATATACCTGCATAATTCCTCTGGATTTAATAGAATATTGCTAATTTATAGCAGCTGTTTCCAGATGTGTAATCTCTCTCTCTCTCCACAGTCCACATTACTTTCAAAGAGGCCAACACAGGAAGCACTGTGTTCTCAAACCACCAGCCATTGTTATTTAGAACGTCTTCTCTTTCTCTCCATCTCCACACCCAACCCACGATTACAACAATATTTGCTGTCAGGGCTGGCCCTACCATCAGGCATGTGAGAGAGGCTGCCTCAGGCAACAAACTGGAGATGTCATCAAGGGCGACACATTTTTGGATATTTAAACTTTTTATGGTTGTCATTTTATTTTCAGGGAGGGGAAAGGTGCCTATGCGATTTTCCTCCTCATGTGTGAAAAGAACTTGGCTGGCCTTACTATGTGCTTTGACTGAGGTGGGTTAGTGGGCACCACTTCCCGCCCCACCTTATCTAACAAAATGCTGTGGGCCATTTGCAGCACGTCTAGTGGTTCCACTGCAGAAGGTGGAATTCTTTACCGTGTGTCCAAAAAGCTCAGATTTATTCAAACAACTTACTATAGATTTATTCAAATCACTTACTGCTGCCTGAGGTAGAAACAAGATGGGACCCCTGCCTTTTCCATGGATGAAAGCCAACTGCACTGGCAGTTCAATTCGACACTAACAATGGCAGTGAAACAACATGCTCCCCTATACCTGAAGGCAGTAAAGTAGCTTTAAGGGTGCAGGATACTGCTCATTCTTCAACCCCTTCCTGCCATACCCCAACATTTGCTGCCTGAAGCAACTGGTTCATTTAACTTCATGCTAGTGCACCGCCTGGGTTATCTTTGGGCGTATTGCTTCTTTGCTTGCACTTATTTTCAAATTAGATGTTGGTTTTGGTAGGAAATGTATTACATTTGGGAGCAACGCTAGGAAACTGTAATAAATATTTCATTTTAGAACCACAGTGCCCCCACACCTATATTGGTTGAGTTTAGCTGTTTGGGTTTTGGGATGTGTTTGCCATTCGCCAATTGATCCTACACAGGCTGTGCATTAGACTACGAGGATTTGCACTGGAATCCATGCAGAATAAGATGCTGAGAAATTATAGAATATAGATTTACACTCAGTACTTTTCAGAAGGAGAGGATACATGTCTTAGTCACCGTGTTCCTTGCAGTCTCTTTTTAAAAATGTGAATAGCACTTTTACCCACAGTACCCCCTGCTGGTCACCTTATGTCACAACAAGTGTTCCCTATTGCTGCATGTTCTGAAAAAGAAGCCAAATGTCATCTATAAAAACAAAGATCATAACAAGAACGGGCTGGGGTGGTGGTGAGTGGTCTGGTATTGCATCTATTTCTTGCTTTGGTGTGCAGACTTGGTGGGCCATCATGGTAACAAGTGCAAGGAACATGCAATATTTTATAATAGTGAGAACTGTGATCCACCATGAAGCTTGTAGGGAGAAGAGCCTCCAAATTAAGGGGAAGAAACAGACAAATTAGCCTGTTAAGGGAATTGCTTTTTCTAGCTCTGTGGTGCCCTTTGGATGTTTGGATTATATCCCCCATCAGCCCCAACCAGCATAGCCAAAGGTCAGCGACTATGAGCGTTGTAGTCAAAAGCATCTGGAAGGCACTGGGTTGCCCTACCCTCTGCCGCAGGAAAGTTTTTCCTCTTTTCAGTTTCACCACCCCCCTTCCCCTTGGTCCCATGCTCGAGAAGACTAAAGGATAAATGCTTCCTCCAAGGTCAGCACAAGTCAGGCAAGCCTTGACAGAATAGAAGTTCAAGATCAACTCTACACTCTTTCCAGTCTTCCCCCACGCTGTCTATTTTTGAATAATACTGACAGAGCACCTTAAATGGGGAGGGGGGTAGCAGTAGAGTATGCACACACCCATGTTATGGGAAAGAGACCTTCCGCTTCCCCACTTGCCCACTTGCATGTTGATTTTAGAAGCAAGCGTTTGTGAAGCATCCCAATAAACACCCAGCCATCTCTCCAACCCATCACCTGCTCTACCCTCCCACTTTATTGTTACAAGGTGTGAAATCGCCACTGGCTGACAAAGGTTTGTTCTCTACCAGCAGTGTGTGCCTCCATGCACACTGCCTCACTGCAACAAGACCGCTTTCAACACTCCCCCTTTCGCCCTGTCACACAGGCACAGACCATCTACGCTGTTGCTCATCACATTTCTACACATGAGTGAGCCACCACATGCTCAGATAATTACCATTACTTCCCCCGACACACACCCAGGCATATTCCATGTTGCAAATGTCAAGCCTCCAGTCATCACAGCTCCATGTACACATACCCCCCCCTCTCTGTGTGTATGAAACAAGCCCATACATTATTTGCTTTGTGGATGCCGAGTCCTCCTAAAGTGAGATTCAGTAAGACTGCAAAGTACTGTACAAGGAAATTGGTACTAGGCTTTAAACATGCACCTTAGCCATGGGAGGTAGCAAATATTCTAAGTTTTCTCTAGCTACCTGGAACATGCCCTCTACCCTGAAAAGACAAATGCTTCTACAGGCGGACAGGTTGCCTACCTGGCATTTTAAAAAGTCCCAGTCCTTAGTTCTAAGTGATTTTTATCTGCTACCTTTGTTCTTGATCATTCGATTTTACAGGGCATTGGACCAGAAAAGCAAGCTACAGATCTTTGCAACAAATAAGTACCTTTACTGGGTCTGCTCCCTTTCCACACCACACCTTGCAAGATCAGAATGCAAAAAAAAAAAAAAAGACCTACCCCCATTCATGCCTGCAGATCTCCGGTGGGAGTGTGATTTGGGGCTAACTTAGTGGGCCTGAATATGAACCACCCACCCATCTCATGGCTGCCCATCACCATGGTATCTGACTCTGTGACGCATAAAATCAATAGCAACACAGAACACTCGAATTCTGCTGCCAAGTACAATAACATTAAATGGCTTCCTTCTTCTCTGGCCACTGCTTGGTAGCTATCTCCTCCACCTCCCGTTACCAGAAATTGTCAACCCTCCTTTCTTTTCATAGAAGAGGTAGGTGAATGCTGGTAGCTTTCAAGATCCTCAGTACTGAGTAAGCAAGAGAACTATCAAAACTGGCCGAGGCAGAATACCGGCAGAAATAAAAACCACCTGCTGTTGACACAAGAAGAGGTAAGTAAGGGGGCCAGATGATTCCTCCACAAAACCACAACAGATTCCTCACCCACCCCACCCACCTTCTCCAGCACCTCTGAAAGCACTGGTAGGTACAGTCATAACGGTGGCATCTCTACCTGACAGGCTTCATTATCAAAGCTAGACGCTGCCAAAAGAGGCAGCGGTGCTCTTTGTTCAGGCCCCAGGTGGAGTTTTTCTTCACCCACCCCCATTTGGGCACAATAAGAACAAAGATCTTGCCAGACTCACCTGGACGTCAATGGAAGGGACAGCAGAGGATGTGCCGGCGGCAAGCGCTAGCCCTCGCCGTGGAGTACTTGTCCAAAGAAAGCTTTGTGATGAAGCCCAGCTTAATTGTTGTGTCAGTTCTTTCCTCCTTGCTTTGCTTTCTGCCCACCCTCTTTCTTTCCCCTTTCCAGTTTTTTTTTAAAAGAAGGAACAAAATCCTCTTCTCTGCGCAGCAGCCTCTGTTCTCTCCATAATGATCACTGATGCGATGCCCATTCATTCAGCTTTTTCTCTCCCTTCCGCCTCTCTTTTCCAGCCTCCTGGATTGAGGTTGTTAGTGATGCTGCAGCAGTGCTGAGATTCCCCCCTGAGAGTACAGCGCAGAGAGGTTGGGAGGGAGGCAGAGAGAGAGAGAGAGAGAGAGAGAGAGGCAGGCCCCAAAACCAGACCTGGATTTCTAAAGGAGTCCGGAATACTACAAAATACACACACTCTCTCTCACACACATAAAGGAAACTAGGACATGGAAAGAGCTGGGCCAAAGCTGCTGCTGCAGCAGCCTTGTATTATTGTGCCTCTGGCATCCTGAATCATGCATAAGGTCAACACACCAGAAAATCTGAGGCACTCAATAAGTTATTAGCAAGACGATGCAGGCGATACAAAGAGGCAGGCAACAGACAGGCCTTGTTTGGTTGGAGGCTTCGTTGGGGCTTCTGCCGCATGCCTTGATTTCTAGAGATGGGGAAAGCTCATAGACTGGAGTGAAATGTCACAGCTCAGGAGGTAAAATCCAGCCCCCAGCAGTGGACGTTTTCCTTTTGTTTTTCAGGCATGGGAATGGTGGGGCGCATGTTCGCTATTGTTGTGACTGCTTCATAGATGAGTGAATGACAGCCTGGCAAATTAGCAATAATGACCATGACAATAACTCTTTAGCATTTCCCAACCCTTCTGCTTTCTAGTGGCAGGGTAGAAAAAAGGTCTTCAGGTCTCTTTGTTTTGGCATAAATTCACTGAAGACTATGGGTTCTGCAGCAGTTGGCAGTTGTGTCATGGAGTGGCAGATTTCACAGGTTAAATGCAATATAAAATTCCATTGACTATCTCTAGAAAGACCTTTTTTTTGGAAGGAGGGGGTATACTTCTTTTCCTAAGCCACCCTGTTTCTTTTTTTTTTAAATCCAGTTGATGTACCCTATGCTGTAAGTCCAGTACAATTTATCATTCCCACTGCCCTGTCATCCTAGCACCCTGGTTCCCAGACTGGCATGTATGTTGGGAGTGGAAGGTATATACAAGCCAGTTGCAAAGGACGCACACAATGTTTTCATAAAGGAAACAAAATCATCCTTAAATGGGGGGATTGGATAATGGCAAAGGAGAATTTGGGAGGCATGAAGGTTTCTCAAAATAAAAGGGGGAATATGATTCTGAAATGTTTAGGAATTGCTCTGCTAAAGACTGGTCATAATTTCTCAATTACACAAACCAGCCTGCAAAGAAGAGGTATATGTGTTGGGCTATCATTGTGACCATAGGGGTTGAGGGGCCCTCCCCCTCCCCCCACACACACAAAGAGAAAGAGAGAGAAAATAAGGATTCATTTAGTCTTTTCATTCTGTTGTCCTACTCAGTGGCAGTTCTGGGTGAATAATTCTCTAGTTACATATGTCATTGTTGTGAGGAGTGTATGAAGGTGTGCAGAGGGCTAAATTTTCAACATCTCAGTGGGAATAAACCATATGCCTTTGAAGGGCAGAGGTAAGTTGGTCTCCCAATAGAAGGAGGGAGAATGATGGAGTAATTATTTTGATCCTCACCCACCCATGGCTAAATTTCGCCCATGAGGGTGAGCTGTGGACGATTCCCAATCATTTATTGTTGATAGGAAATCTCTGTGACAGAACCCACTAATTAGCTAAGAAAAATGCCTTCTTCTTGTATAATGATATGGTCCAGAACACTGAAAACAGTAGCGCTTAAGTGAACTGAACTGGGTGCAGAGATGCAACTTTGGGGCCCATTTACTTGGAAGCAGATTCCTGCTGGAACAAAACTACCTTACTACCTTGAATGAGTTCAAATCTCCAGGACCAGATGAACTGTGTCCAAAAGAATTGACGGAACTGCCTGAAGAACTCCCAGAACCACTGTCTATTATTTTCTTGAAATCATGGTAAACGGGTGAAGTGCCAGACAAATGGGGGAGGGCTAATGCTGTCACTATCTAACAAAAGAGCAAAATGAAGGAACCTGGAAACTACAGACCAGTCAGCTTGATGCCTATTCCAGGGAAAATTCTGGAACAGATTATAAAGCAGCCACTATGCAAACACCTAGAAAACAAGGCAATAATAACTAGAAGCCAACACAGATTTATCAAGAACAATTCCTGCCAGATGAACTGATCTTGTCTTTGATTGGGTAACCTCCCTAACAGAGGGAATGCTTTAGACACAGATATCTTGACTTCAAGAAAGCTTTTGACAAAGTGCCCATGCTATTCTGATTAGCAAGTTAAGTAGGTGTGGGCCAGACAGAACAACTATCAGGTGGATACACAGTTGGCTACAGAATTGTACTCAGAAGGTGATGATTAATGGCTCCTTCTCAGCCTGGCAGGGTGTTTTAAGTGGGGCACCCCAGGCTGAATTCTGGGCTCAGTGCTATTCAATATTTTTATTAATGGCCTGGATCAGGGGATACATGGAATGCTAATCAAATCTGCAGATGACACAAAATTGGGTGGAATAACTAACACCCTGGAAGACAGAAACAAAATTCAAAATGATCTAGATAGGCTGGAGTACTGGGCTGAAAACAATAGGTAAAAGGTAAAGGTAAAGGTTCCCCTTGACAATTTTTTGTCCAGTCGTGTTAGATTCTAGGGGGCGGTGCTCATCCCCGTTTCCAAGCCATAGAGCCAGTGTTTGTCCGAAGACAATTTTCCGTGGTCACATGGCCAGTGCGACTTAGACACGGAACGCTGTTACCTTCCCACCGAGGTGGTCCCTATTTATCTACTTGCATTTGCATGCTTTCGAACCGCTAGGTTGGCGGGAGCTGGGACAAGCGATGGGCGCTCACTCCGTTACGTGGATTCGATCTTACGACTGCTTGGTCTTCTGACCCTGCAGCATAGGCTTCTGCAGTTTAGCCCACAGTGCCACCACGTCCCTGAATGAAAACAATAGATCGAAACTCAAAAGGAATAAGTGCAAAGTACTGCACCTAAGGAAAAGAAACCAAACATGCAGTTAGAAGATGGGAGATAGCTGGCTCATAAATACTATGAGCAAGAAGGATCTTGGAGTCATTGTAGATCACAAGTGGAATATGTGCCAACAGTGTGATATGGCTACAAAAAAGCAAATGCTATTTTAGGATACATTAACAGAAGTATAGTCTCCAGATCCCATGAGATACCAGTTTCCCTCTATTCAGCCCTACTTAGGCCTCATCTTGAGTACTAATATATTACAACAGCCATAAAAATATGGACATTGTATCAAGTATGGTCATCAGCCCCAATGGAATGGGGTACGAGTATTGGCCAAAACCAATCAATTCTGGAATAGAATTATTCTTGAGGCTTTCTTGATAAATCTTCAGCCACATTCCATCAACAAAGATAGTGGTGTCACTTTTGGTGCTTGCTGGAAGCCTCTTTTTTTCTAAACTGGATAGCCTTGGCAGGTTGCTCTTAGATAATACTAGCCACTGTGGGGCACTGGCTCTTTGCTGTTAGTTTGCCTGAGTCTGGTCCGAATGCTTACCCAGCTGGTTTTGATTGCACCTTGTTGTATTTAATGTTAGCTTTGTTTTAGTTGATGTCTTGCCTTTCCTGACGAAGATGACGCAGGATATTGCCATTTAAAGCTTGGATAATATAAACAATAAACATGTATTGACACAACTGGAAACCCATGAGCTGTTTATGCAAAATAAACTGTGTGTTGCTATACATACATACATACATACATACATACATACATACATACATACATACATACATACATACATACATACATACATACATACATACATACATACATACATACATACATACATACATACATACATACATACGTGGTATTTGTATCCTTTCTTTTAATTGTAAATTATTCAATTTAAGGATATATTTATGAGGGGCAATATTTGCAGTAACTAAACAAGACAGCAATAAATTAAAAATAAGTTATTGCAATATTTGAGGAATGAGTGGGAATTTATTTCAGATGCAGCACTTGCAGCTAAACAAGAACAATTTCCAGGTCTGAAAATAGAGGGTCAAAACTCTGCTCACACCCAGAACTGCCACCACCAGCTGCTGCTGCTGCTACTACTGCTTGTCGTCAGAGCTTGTTGTATTGACACCAGGCAAAATACAACATTTTCTTCTCTTTATTTCACACTTAGCCGCTGACTGCACTGGTGGTTGTATTTGACACCAGCACTTACAATGAGATAGCATCCTCCCACATACCTGTAGGCCACAGGCTTTTAAAAAAAGAGAGTACAGGAAATGAGAATGGTGATGTGGGGGCAGGGGGAATGGCTGGAGGAACTGGCCTTGCTTTCTGAAGCCTGGGGCAGTTGTCTCCCTTAGTCGAAGAGTAAGCCTGTGGGGCCAGTAACATAGGTGAGAAGGGTTTTCTTTCCATCAGAAATTCCTTCACATTTAAATATCCCAGGCTTTAGAATTGTTTTGTACAGTTCTGTAACCTACCCTGAGATCCTGTGAAAGAGGTTAGACTATAATTATTTTAAACAAAGAGACAAACAAACAAATGGAGAAGAATAACAGCAGCAACAGCAGAAAAAAAAAGATTTAGGGGAATAATGGGACAGGTACCAATTCATGAAAAGAGTGAAAGCGTTCTCTGGCCTAGAAGGTGAGCAAAGCTATGGTGGCCCATCATGTATCCAAGGTGCATTAATGCCTCAGCCAATAGTCATTGCTGTGGATTTCTTATGCCCTTGACTAGATGATTCTTGGAGTGCATTACAATGCCACCCTTCTATGATTCATGATTGTAAAAGGCAAGTGGGCTTCTTCGTTGGGTATCAGAGCATAGGGGGCTTTATAATTTCTGTAGAATGAAGCTTCCTGGTCTTTTAGGTTAAGGTTAAGGTTCCCCTTGACATTTAGTCCAGTCGTGTTCGACTTTAGGGGGCAGTGCTCATTCCCATTTCCAAGCCATAGAGCCAGCGTTTGTCCAAAGACAATCTTCCGTGGTCACATGGCCAGTGTGACTTAGACACGGAACGCTGTTACCTTCCCACCAAGGTGGTCCCTATTTATCTACTTGCATTTGCATGCTTTCGAACTGCTAGGTTAGCGGGAGCT